CTGCTCTCGTTCGCCTCATAGCAATCAGAGAAAAACAATTATTATTATTATTATGTTCGGTCACGAGTTGTTATTCCTAATATTGTTTGCCGTTCATATGCATTGAACTAACATCCTTTTTAATTTTTAGTTCACAACTCCGTGAGCAGCTTCGTCTGCCTCGACGACTCTGCGCTTTCACGTCCCGTTCGGAGGAGCTGCAGCTCCAATGGGACCATTTCGTCATTGTCCTTTTCTGACGGCGAGTAGGACCGAAGAAACATGGCAACAGCGACCAAGATCAGCACAAGGATGATGGAGCCAAGGACAAGCCCGACGACGAGGGCGGTGTTGCTCTTTTTTTCATCATTCACAGGCACGGGCTGCGGCACATCGTTGGGCTTCCACCCAGGGACATGCTCCCCAGCCCCCAGCACAAGAAATCCGGCGCCTTGCGCTGCGCCCCACTCCGTCCCCGACGCACGGATACGGACCCTGATCGGGTACGTGCCGTGCTCCTTGTCCCGCGGGATGCTGAGGACGCAGGTAAGCTCCGTCTCCGTGGCGGCGGTCAGCCTGCACAGAATAGGGTTGGCGGCCACATCGTCACCCACCACCACATCGTTGTACGAGGGCTGAAGAGGGTTGAAGTTCGTCCCGTGGAAGATCAACTGCGCACCTGTGACACACTTCACGCTTGCGGCAGCACAGCTCCCCGTCGCGGACTTGACCGAGGGCTCCAATGGAAGAGCCAGAATCTCGCTGCGAGCTCCTTCCACAAATGGCACTTGTGTCGTTCCCTTCATGAGAGAAACGTTCCACCTGCCGATTGTCCCGGCCCGCACCTGCATTTTGCATGATAATGTGCTGGTCGTCACTTTGTCGACGGCGCACAGCGGAGCGACCCGGATGCCGCTCCCCGGAACGGCAGGGACAAAGCGGACGCTGTAGCGCGAGCTAGTGATAAATGCCCCGAACATCTCGAGGACGTCGCCGTCGTGGACGCGGGAAGGTCGTACAGCCCCCACGCTTTCCTCGGTCGGTGAGACAGGGCTCATCACACTCACGTTGACGGTCTTACTCACCACCTTGGGTGACCCAATCGACAGCGGCTCCCGCCTGGACACCTCCTTGGAGCAAGAGAGGCACAAGCAGAGACAGCTGAGTTCCCCCACACAGCCGTAGAGATCCTGTGTGAAGTGCACACTGCCGCCAGACCGCAACACGGCAACACTGTCAAGGTTGCCGTTGAACGCCGCCGCACACGCAGCGGCATCGCACGTGGCTGGTGGCCCGCTTTTCCTGAACGGAAGCAGCACCGCGTCACCTTCCGTTACACCGCCCTCAATCTGGAACGCCGTTTCCTGTGTGCCCAGCACCTCACGTGGGGTCAGCTTCGGTTCGCTGTAGGTCACAAGGTTCAGCATCATCCTGGCCTTCGCAGCACCGTTGTAGGGAATGACATAGAAAGTTCCGCCAGCGAGGGGTGGAACAACGACGCGGTGCTGTTTCACATCAAGAACCCCAGAGAAGCCCGGCGACGGCTGTTGCTGAAGAGCATAAGTCACATTCAAGTAATTCTTCATGACTTTACCGGGGGTCTTCGTGGTTAACACCGCAATGCGCCACTCTGGATCCACGCCCGAGACAAATAAAGGACACTTTTCATTCGCCACGCACGCGAGACGATCGACAGATGGCTCCTTGTTGATCTCAACAAAGAACTGTGTCCTCCGGCTCTCACGGTTTTGCGCAAACGCCTGGGCGACAATTGTCGAGGACTCCGTGATGGTTAAGGGGCCGGCGTACACCACCATCTCTCTTGCATTGTTAACGGCGTACTTGATGGTGGCTCCAGGCGTCGCAGAGACCATACGCACCGTTTGAGTGCGGGCCGCGGGGTCGTCGACTGCCAGAACGGGCGCCTCAACGACGATGGGGACGTCATATGTATACCCCAATTCACCCTTTGCGTGGGGGGAGGGAGTGATGCTGAGCCACATGGACGGTGGCGGGTTATCGCCACAGCACGGCACAAGATGACGCTCTGGCAAGTTGTCGCTGGCCTCGCCCCATTTTGGGCTCTGGCCATCGTGGGCCTTTCGCCACGTCTCGCACAACGATGTGCCATTGCCGCCCTTCGCAGACACCTGAACCCACTCATTCTCCGCCGTGTTCACGGGGACAAAGGAGGAGCCCCCGGCCACGGGCACCGCCCCCGGGCGCCCCACACCAAGCGGGCACACAGCCGACCCGGGACACAACTCCATATTCCTCGTCCCAGCGCACACCGCGTTTGCCTTGGTCCAAGTCGTCGTGCCAGTGTGTGTGTCAACAAAATGAAATGAGTTGTTCGCCTGCAGCTTAATTACAAGCTGATTCCACCCCTTCTCCAGCGACAAAGTTTGCCGCACCTCCTTCCTCCAAGCGAGGGGTGACGAACCAACCAAAGTGCCACCCAGCCAAATCGCGTAGCCCCCATGAAAAACGACACGCGTCGTCGCCTGCATCCGCTCAGTGGCGTACAAGACGAGCGACCAATACTGATTGAAGTTTCCACCAAAGGAGCGGCTCCCCCAGTTGCCATCGGCGCTCACTTTTCCCACCCATTGGTACTGGCGCTCCTGCCCCAAGGTCCAGATGCGCTGCGGCGAGAGCAAACCAGGCAGGTAGCTCGCACCAACAGGGAGGTCAGCGAACCCCGTACCCACCGCCGTTGCGTTGGATGGATTAAAGGGAATGGCTCCATCCTGAAGCTCCCTATCGACCAACGCCATGAGTGAAAAAAGTGGTGTGTTGGGCCGAATGGAAGCCACGCCAAATGGGAGATTGGTGCCGGGCTTATGTGAAGCGCCAAGACGATAGTTGTCAAAGTGAATGTAAAACGTTAACCCCCACGACTGCCCCTTCGTGGCAGCAATGCGCACAATCAGCTGGTGCCACCCACGCGAAATCGGCGTGGTGAAATTCTCAGTGCGGGGGCCAGTGTCGCTTGGGCGGCTGTGGACCAGCTCGCCGTCGATAAACACGTCGGTTTTGCCGCCAGAAATGAAGGTCCAGCCAAGAGGAACCTTTTCCTCATAGCCGCTGTAAATCGCGATGGCCACGTAAGACACCGCCGCCTCCTTGTCGGCCGGCAGTCTCTCTGCGGAAACGGGGATTCGGCCGCCATAGAATACCAACGGTTTCCACAGTTTGCCGCTCATGTAGTCCCCCGGCCTCGGGCTGGCCGCACTCACGTTGATAAAATCCTCATTGAGACCGCCGTACAAGTACTCCTCCCTCTCCACCCCCAAATGGAGAAGGTAAAACACGTAGTCGTTGTTCCACAGTTCATAGGCACCTTCCGGAATGTCCGGCCTTACGGCATGGGTGTAGCCGACCGCGCTGCCCACCACACGCATTGAAAAGCTCGAGAGGGTGGTACAACTCTCAGAGCCCTTTACCGCCGTCGAACCGTCAGAAAACAGCTTGGCAAGGACCTGGTGATAGCCTTGCATCACATCGAGGGCAAACGAGCCCCTGCGTGCGCCATCCAACTCCTGTGGAACAAAGCGCTCACCGGCGAAATACACCACAGCGGCGGTGTCATACTCATATTGCACCACGATGCGCTGATCCACCGCACTGTACACGGAGACAGCATAGTACTGCACACTTTTGCATGGCACCCGGGCCTCAAACACGCCGTCCGCCTGGGTCACGTTCTCCCACCTGTCCCTCACTGGGGGCAGTTTGTGGGGTGTCGCCGTGTTGAAGTGCCCAGCGACCGGACGGAGCTGAGACTCGCCCCCCACAATCGTGGATGCAAACCAGTCTTCGCCGAGTGCCGTAGCCCCATCCGCGGGGCCAATCGCAGTGCCCTTTTTGCCGAAGCGCACGAGCGCCGGGATCTTCTCGCCAGCAGACGGTTTCACATCCCACGGGAGTTTCCCCAAAACATCCACCTCCGTTTTCAGTTGCTTCGTGTTCACCGTAGCAGGGCCAGACACGAGATCCACCGTAATGGCATACTTGGCGGTGCCTTTCTCCGGGGGGTCACCAAAATGCGTGTAGCGCCCCGTCGGGCTTGTCACAGTGACCTTCTTGCCGTTTGTCGTGATGTCAAACGTGACCTTTTCTCTAACTGGTTCACTACGCGCGTTCCACACGTTTACCTCGAATACCACTGGACCGTTGGTGACAGAGACTGTTGGTTTCGTGCCCCAAGCGAGATATGCCGCAGGCGCCGTTGGGACCAACAGCAGACGGTACGGCCGGTACCACGCGGCTTCCTGATTGGGCATCAGCGCGCAGCAGCCTCCGGTGTGGTTGGTGTCACTCCCGCTGTCGCCCCAAAACGACAGAGTGCTCCGGCCGCCACTCACGTAGCCTTCCGCGGACCCGCCCAGCGCCGTCGCGTAGAGGGAGGGCGCAATGGGGAGGGTGTGGCCGTCCCACGTGGCCTTGCGGGGGTCCTGCGGGGCGTAGAGATACCTTTGCGCCCCTGTCGGGTTGGTGAGGAGGCCACAGAGCGTAACGCCCGCCTTGGGAACAAGATAGTCGCTGAAGTTCCCCATCTCTAGTACCACGATGAACCTGTCACCGTGTGTGTCGAAGTCGCCACAGCGTGTGATGAAATTTTTCTCGCCCGCCCTGAACCCTGCCTTGATGTCCCCCGCATTCAGTTTGCGGGTGCCGTCCAGCACCCCGACGACGACTTCCTCCGAGCCGGCCACACTGAGCAAGAGGAGAGAGGCCATCATGGCCGCCACAAAGAAGGTGGCGCGTCGCAACGCGGGAGGCGAAGCCGTCAGCATTGGACGCTTGTTAATAGAAGGCGGTTTTCCCACAGTCATCGAAGATTATCCACTTTTTTCTCTTCTT